ACAAACAATACGAAAAGGGGGGCACTGCATCACAACAAACAATACGAAAAGGGGGGCACTGCATCACAAGCGATGATTCATTTATTTTTTTAATGAAACACCTTAGCCATTAATTGCGTGCACCACATGTACATACAGTATAGTCAGTGGATAAAAGCAGGTACAAGCCAAAATAAAACATATTGCAAAAATTGCGATATATAATCTCACATAGTCCTGTTTGGTATTTCTTTTAAAACAAAACAAACAAGGTAACATCAGCTTCCCCATGAGACGCCAAATGAATGTTTTTACTTTAGTTCCCAATTCTCAGATTCCGTCACAACTAACATTCACAGTTTACAACCAGGAAGAAATAATATAGCTCTCTATTAAATCTATGCTCATACTACTCTCCCATACAGCATGATCAAAGAAATAACACGTTTTATAATTATAAAATTAACGCCATAGTTGGCACCATTACTAGTCTTATTAGATGCATAAAATAGGCCCCTAAGTTAATTTGTGCAATCTGAAAATTTATTACACAAAACTGTCATTGTAAATAAAACAAAAAAACAAGTGAAAACACCAGTAATAAACCACTAATGCAAAATGCAGGCAGCACCGAATGTGTTCAGGAGCAGAACAGCAACTCTTTTAGCTAGAAGGATGAAAGCTGCGCACTTACCACAGAGCCTTTTGGAGAATCATCCCCATGCTGTGACACAGACTCACAGTCTGAGATTTCCACCTCGCTGTCGCCTCCCTTCTCATCTGTACAGTCACTCTCCCACTCAATCTCCTGCTGTTCTTCTAGAAAAGCATACACACACAATTAAGGTTGGAAAATTCCTAGAATTTTCCATTAATTCCCATGGAAAGTTTCCAACTTGGAATATTTCTAAAATTCCCCAGCTTAACTTCCCATGGAATGGAAAGTTTCTGGAAAGTTTCCAGAAAATGTAGCCTGCCACTCTTTGGCAGCTCCATGCACAATACATTCAATTCATCCATTCAGGGCAGAGAACACCTTGGAGAGGGTGTCATATACAGCCAAAGGGCAATTTAAGAATGACAATCCCTCCCACAATCCCAGAGGAACAATTAGCCACTACACAAGGAACAAACACAGACAAGCATTATTAAAACATCCACAAGCTTTCATCAGACTTGATAAGATGTACAGGTGAGTTACACAGAACAGTCATAACACCCAGAATGCTACAATGCAGTAAATGTAATGGTGCTTGACCTCCGCAACAGTCCAGAATTCCTCTATCTGTGCATATATCATTCTGCAGTCATAAAGTCAGCTGAAGCTACAGAATTCAGGGGAGGAACATGCTCAGACCTTGCTGGGGTTGGGTGATGGTGGTGATCATGCGGAGATATGCGTTGTAGGAGTCCCGCACGGCCTGCAGGCCTGGACCCCCCCTGGCCAGGGCTCCACTGGCAGCAGGACGTTTGGCTTCACTGTCTGACACGTCGCTCTCACTGGAGCTCCAAGCGATGTGCACATCCTGTCCCTCCGACTGGTGGAACTCAGCTGATAAGGATTACGAAAGAAGCAGAGCTCCAGTGAAAAGGGATTGAGCATGAAAGTCTAGCTAATGATGTCTTCCCCTCAAAGACAACTGGACAAAAATACCTTACCAATTCAGGCAGTTCACCATATACATTATATGGACAAATTTATGTGGACATCACTATTATTTAGAGGAACTGCCTCATTAAGCCACATCTATTGGTGGCAGGTGTATATGTAAGCACACAGTCACACGATCTCCTGCAAAAACTTCAGCGGCAGAATGGATGGCCAATAAAAAGAGGTTAGTGACATTCCACCATCACAGGACACTTTCCAACAAGTCAGTTTGTAACATTTCTGCTATGCTAGAGCTGCCATGGTCAAATGCAATTGAAGGGGAAACATCTGGGAGCAAGTTCAGATGAAGAGGAAGGACACACAAGATGACCTCATCACCAAACATTGATACTAGGCATGAAACGACACACTGCGCGACGATAAATCATAGTTAACTTTTATGACAATTCGAATCGTGGTACGGTGGTGCAGTGGTTAGTATTCTCGCCTGACACCTCTTGGGACCTGGGTTCAAGTCTCTGCCAGGGTTCCGAGTGTTTGAAGTTCGCCCCATGTCATCATGGGGGTTTACCCACAGTCCAAAATCATGCTGAGGTTAACTGGTGTTACCAAATTGTGTGCACATGCACACACGCCCTGCGATGGGTTGGTGGCCCATCCTGGGGTTGGTGGCCCATCCTGGGGTTGTTCCATGCCTTTCAGCTATAGGCCCCAGACGCTGTGACACTGAGCAGGATGAGCAGTCACAGAAAAATAGAAGGATATCTTTGTTTCTCCTAGTGGTAACTGCATTGCTTAGACAGTAGAAGGCACAATAACTTGGGCTGCCCCACTACCAGCAACCTACTAATGCAGGGGTAGCCAATCTTATCCGCAAAGGGCCGGTGTGTATGCAGGTTTTTGGGATAACTTGTAGGTCAGCTGTTCAAATCCAGGTGTAAGGACTCTTCAGCCAATCAGTGCTCTAATTAGTCATCTAATTAGGGAGCTGCAGTGGCCCTTTGCGGATAAGATTGGCCACCCCTGCACTAATGCAACCCTTAGGGGTAACACTACAGAATGGCAAAGCAGTTAAGAAACAGCCTACTAACCTCCTAACTTTTCATGTTTAACTAAAATAGTTCTTTTACTAATCAGCTACTATATTTTACTCCAACCATTATAAATGCTACAAATTATTTTAGGTTGTTAAGAAATTGATTTTTTTTTAAGGAATATTTTAGTTGATTAAAAAAAAAAAAAAAAAAATTGGTTTTGGTAATAAAATTTCATTCATTTTTTTTAAATATCGTGGGAAAACCAAATCATGAAGCCAATATTGTGAATCAAACTGAACTGTTCACTGCATGGCATGCCTAATCAATATCCAACATGAATGGCAAATCCCACCAGAAACCTCACAACATCTAATGGGAAGCTATCCGAAAGAGCAGAGGCTATTATAACAAGGATACTATGTAATGTTTTAAGCTCATCCTTTATTCACAATTAAAAATGTGAGTTTGTGGGTAAAATGGCGCATAGAATAGAGATGGTTATCTAATTTGCAGTGGTAAGGGCTTCATATGCTTGCCAACTAGACCAGAATAGGCATTTAGAAAACTGATGGAAAAACTTCATATGGATCTCAAGAAGCAATCCGCGTTCATATGCAACATATTCCAGAGAGGGTTATGAGTTACGGGTTGGGGTAAATATCAACACAAGCCCATTCAAAGTGCTCACACTCAACTTAAGAGTAATTCATACTTCAACCTTTTGCATGTGCTTGTCTGGGAAGTCTGCACACAGATGTAAATTTCATCATTAGAGGTGTCCACCAGACTCTGTGCATGCAACTCAGATTTTTATGTGGGGTGGGGGCATTATGCATGTCAACTGCACATGTGCAAGGAAATTTACTAGGTATTTCCAGTAGGTGGCAGCACTGACTTTCACAAAGCAGAGGTCAATGGAGGAGGAGTAGAGAAGGAATAGTGAATTGTTGCAGTTATGAGTAGGCATGGAGGAACCCGCATATCTAGCTTTTCAGATCATCCGAACATACCACAGTATACAGTATTTTCAAAAACAATGCAATCTCTTGTTTACACCATAACCGACACGTGGAAACCTGGTTGCAATGAGTCAGCATTGTCAAACATTTGAATATCTGAGAAGGTGTATAAAATCTAAAAATAAATCTTGAAACAGAACAACAAATAAGCCATTTTAAAAATGATTTAGTAGCAGTACGATTAGTCGTCTTTGCCCATTCTTTAATAAGTTTGTGGTTCATTCGTTCTGAAGTTTAGCTGCAGTGCTTCCGCGTGAACTCTGCATGCAATCTCCGAGCCAATCACAATCATTCTACTTCTTGCTCACTCAGTGCGGCACGTTTTGAGAAATTTAACAAAAACAAGTGAGGTGAACAAGCAAACAAGAAGTGACCCTCAGACATTTGACTTTCAGTGTATGGAAACATCAATTCCACAGAGGCAACACTGAGCAAAGGCATGACATGACGGTGCTGCTTTGTCTCTACTTTTTGTTTGTGATTTTTTCCCAATGTTGTTCAACTCCAGTTTCAATGCTACTTTTAATATTCTAAGTTATTATTTCACAGCAATGAGTGATGTCTCATTTGGCTGGGAAATAAGCATATAATTAAACTGTATTTTCCTATATAAAAACACAATTTTACTCACCAACACTTGACACATAAGGAACTGCCTGTCTTGTACTTTTCTTTTCCAGAGAGGAGAAATCATTCTGAAAAATGAAATGAATAAATAAAATGAAAAAGGACCACCCAGGAAAATACTCTCTTTTGGAACATCACCTAATCAGAATTGAAAGTCTTTTAACACATTCCATCATCACTCATGCAAACAGTGAAAATGTAAGTAAAAACAAGCTCTCTTTTACAGTTGTTCTGGCAGATTTAAAACAGTTAAGCACCCAGGCCTTCCTCTGGCACTGAATAGGTCACTGGATATGACAGGTTGTGAAGTTTGAATCAACCTGAAGAACTCTACCTTTTAGAGAGAGAACTCCATTAATCCTTTAGAGGGAAATTCTCATAGGGCATTAATAAAGTATTCTCTCTCTACTCTGTAGGTAAAACGTTGTGGGATATTTCTGGGTCTTCTCAACCTAGCAAAATGCTTGGATTTAAATTTAAAAAGGTACACATATCTGTCACTGCTTCATCAAAAAGCATTCATGAGGCCAGTCCTCTAAAAACAGAATATTCCTTTTTTTATGTAGCATTCATATATTAATACAGTAAAGTAGGGAAAATTAAATATAAATCGATAATGACCAGGGGCACCATAAATGGGTAAAGTCAGGATGATTTCAAGGGCCCCTGAGTGACAGGAGCCTCAAAAAAAATTGGAACATAATTGGATTGGTGCGGGCCAGGGGCCCAATATTATTTAACTTCATGGGGCCCAAAATCTGTAGTGGCGGCCCTGATGGTAACTACGTCAGTTTAACCAGCGTATAAATTTTGCTCTGTTGATGTTTTATCTTAAAACGAAGCTCATGCCGAACGATGTCCTCCAGAAATCCAGTGACTACCATGCATCGCCTCAACTCCCTGAGTGGCCGGAGAGCAGGACGCGGCGTCCCCGCACCTTGACTGCCGGCGTATCGGCGAAGGCGTCCCCGCAGCGCTCCCAAGCCCGGCGCACACACTCGGCCCGGTTCTCCATCTGCCTGCTGCCCTCGTCGCGGAGGATGGGGCGCCTCACGGCCAAGGAGCCCCGCTTTCCCTGCGGGATGAGGCGCCAGGCGTTACTCATTACTACAGCAAGCAGAGGCATTCACTCCACTACCGATGTTACTGACAGGCAACATTAATTCCCCTCCACTGACGCTACTATTACTGCGGCTAAACAGCTCGTTCAACACTAAAGTTGTACCTGTTCCTGTGTGCTGAGGACATTAATGTGAACGTTACGCGTCAGTTTCTCTACGGCTTATTTCCCATATTACGGTCGAAATAAACATCTATAAATCACCCCCTTTTTGGCGTTATATCTTCATCCTTACCTTATTAAACCGAGACATGTCAGTCTTGCGGCAGGCCGATTAATAATGTGAATTTGTTGACAGTGAACCACTAAATAATATTATTACGACATGACGAAAAGCGCAGTAATGAACAGCTTAGCGGACTCGGTAGCGTTGTGTATATATTGAGTTTGCCGAGCCGCGCGCCTTTCTGACAGCTTTCCTATTGGCTGAAGCGGCTTCCTCTGCGGCTAATCCATTATGTGACTGACTGACTACTGCCACCAGGCGTAAAGGGGCGGAACTCACCGACTGATCGTGTGAATCGGAATCAGAGTCCTTTTATTCGCCATGAACAAAAAGTACAAAGAATTTGAGGAGTCACTTCAACCACAACCACTGTGTAGCACCCATCTGGATGACAGCCATTCTGCGCCTGTATGCTCACCACACGATAGCTAACCTTTGTGAAAAAAATGTGTACTTAAGTGTATTAACAGTGTACTTTGATCACTAGAAGTGTAATAAAAATGCATTCTGTTTACACATACTTTTTTTAATACACTGACATTATTCTTATGTGTACCTTTAGAAAATATATTTTGCATTTAAACATAATTAAGTACGCCGAAGCACACTTGAATAAAAGTATGTCTGTGATCAAATACACTTCAGAACATTTTTGAAAGTATATTTTTGTGCTAAGTGTATTTTTTAAGTAAATACGTTAGTACACTATTTTTTCACAAGGGAAGGGAGTGAAGGGGAAGGAGAGAATTCACCAGTTAGATATCGGGGATGATTTGATACGGCCACAGTGGGTAATTTTAGCCACGACTTCGAGGTACTACAACTACTCTGTTTTATGACCTCTGAGTGTCAGGATCTCAGTTTTACGTCTCATCTGAAGGACGGCACCATTTCTACAGCACCGTATCTCCATTGCTGCACTGGGGACCCCACAGCCCACAGGACGGGCTAACCTGCTGGCCACTCCAACACCTCTTCAATTTGTTTTGGTGGCAAAACTACATAAAAAGACATAAGAAAATGTGTTATTAATAAATACATGAGTAACATATGTACATATAAATGAGAACGTGACAGCGAAATGTGGGGTACAGACAATTGCAAATAAGCTTAGTGTCAATACGAGTGTTATTACAGTGGGTGACTTTGTGCAGAAAGGTCCCATAGGGGGCAGTATGCTTCTCATAGGACCTCGGTTAGGATGGAAATGGCCTGGGCGCAGAAGCTGTTCAGATGGCAAGTCCTTGCATTCATGGCTTTCACTGAGAAGAGAGATGCCGGACAAGGGGCAAACCAGGGTGAGACGGGTCAGACATCATTCTCTTAGCCCTGTTCCTCAGGGCTTCAGTTACTTAAATAGGTGATGTTTGTCTCCCTCTTGTGGTTTCGTTGAACGATGGTGCCTAGAAAGTCAAAGGTCTCAGTTCTGCTGAAGAGTGTTGTGTATGATTGGCGGGGACGGCGATTAAGGTTCCAGAAGTCGATGATCATTTGCACAATTATTTGTGTGTTCAGCTCCAAGTTGTTAACACGATAGCATGACACCAGCCAGCTTCCTCTCCGTATGGTAGTTTTTTTTATTTTTGAAGAATCTAATTAAGGTGATGTCTGCAAACTTGGTACATAATCGCTTTGTGAAGTGATGCCCCTTGTTCACACCAGGGGAGAGAGAGGAGAACCTTGTGGGGCTTCAGTACTGAGGGTGACGGGGTTTGAAATGTGGCTGCGCATCTTCACAAGCCGTGTCCTGGGTACAGTAACAATAAATATTATTTATACTGACATCAAAAGATTAGTTAGATGCAAACAGCAACTACTAATGTCAAGCAACATAACCCTGTGTTAGATTCCAACTACGTTTGCTCCATGAGTCAGGAATAAGAGCACTGGCCTTATAAACCATGAGTTCAAATCTCAAGGTGGCCTTAGCTGTAAGAGTGTTAAGTGGCTCAGTACGGTCTGTGATCAGAAGGTCACCAGCATAAGCCCTGTGATTGACAGAGTAACCACATCTCCTTTGGGCCCTTAACCACCGCAGACTTACTGAACATCTGAGGTATATTCTGCACTTGATGTGAGAAATCTAGTCATTCTCATATTTTTGCACGTGCCTGTGGAATATTTTAAGTGGTGTATTTGTAATCAGGGATTGACATAACTGGTACGCAAGTACGCATTCACTCTTTAAAAGCGATACGTACGACAATCGATTTTTGTAATAGTTGAATCTGTACCTATTTTATGTGCATTTACGCCGATATGACAAGAAATTACCGTGACTTTTAACCTCAATACCGTAAATGAAGTATGAATTAGCATATAAAGGCATATAACTATGAATTAGCATATAAAATGCACGATAATTTCTTGTCATATCAGCGCAAATGCACATAAAATAAGTACGCATTCACGCTGTTACAACAATCGATTGTCGCACGTATCGCTTTTAAAGGTTAATGGTTAAAGGTTAACTTGCGTACCAGTTATGTCAATCCCTGTTTATAATATGTTATGTGTACTAACTGAATCCGCTTTGTATCCTCCATGTTGCTGTCACATCAGAACTAAATTTCCACTGGCATTTATTGTGGCAATAGAGATTCAGTTCTATTCTATTGAAAGGTGGAACATTTTGCTTTATCAAATTCACAATTTTGACAAAAAAAAAAACAAAGAAACAACAAAAAACTGGGGGTAGTTTAGTATGGTTATTGTCTATTTAGCCACTATCAGTAGCCCCGTTATAAATGATGCTTTAAATGTTCATCACAATCACAAACTGACACTTTTACAATAAGTTTTACCTGACCTTAGCAGTATTGGGACCTGAAATGTTCTGCTTGTTACACATTATGAGAATTATGAGTTTGATTGCAGCCTCAGGATGGATGGGTGGATGAGTCAATGTTCATCTGCTCATCTAACATGAATCTCTGGGCGCTGTTGCCTGTTTCTTTTCTGCACCATGCAGTGGATATTTCCCCTTTCTGGCTGAGCAGCATAACTAATATTCTGAACCCCAGCTAAACACGCCTCACCTTGCATTTTCGCTACTTAATCCTCACATTGCCTCGGTCATATCGCATGATGTCATACAGTACAGTTCACCTCACACTTATCTTGTAGTAAATACTGTAGCACCAGATGTCTCACAAAGGCAATTAAGAGAAAATGACTTTTGGAGAATTTTGTCCTTATGAGTTAATTGTTAATATACAGGTAATTGTGGTGGGATGAGAGACTGGAAGGAGGTGGGGGGGGGTAGACCCAGGTGAAAGATGCTTCATTAGGAACAAAAGAAAGATCACCAATGTGTGCAGGAAGCTTGCAGGTGGCGTTGGGACTTGCAGTGGAACCCTGGAGACTTAGTGAGCTCAGGCCAAGGCAGGGCTCTCACAGTTATACATCAAATGTGCCTCTAAAGTGGCTTAATGCTCATACAGCCATCCATCCTCCATCTGGCTTACCCTCTGTTTAAGTGGAAAAGGCCACACTTGCTCAAGATTCAAGAATAAACAGCAAACGGTCAGTTACACTATGTGAAGGAAACCTAACTCTTACCCTTCTGGCTACTGGTAAACACAATAAATAAAGCGCAAAAACACAAACAGAAATTAAGGTTCTTACGGTAAGAACATAAATGCGAGTGCAATCATGGCAACAAATATGTGAACGCGGTGCAGTGTGAACACATAGTGCAATGTAAATATAGTGCAAAAGTTGCATTGCAAAGGAGTGGCTGAGTTAGGGTTCGATAATTGGCCAGTGCTGTGTTGCCAGGTCGTTGTGCAAAAGACAGAGAAGTGTGAGAAAGTGACCAGGTTGTTGTGCAAAAGACAGAGAAGTGTGAGAAAGTGACCAGGTTGCTGTGCACAGTGTACAGAAGTCCATGTGCACCATTGTCCCTTCAAGATTTCAAGAGATTTATTAGTCACATACAGTACAACATGCAGTGAGATGCATCTCTGTGTCGCCCTTATTTGGCCGTGCAAAAACAGAAATAGAAGAGAAAAAAAGAAACAAGGTAAGAAGTAAAGTATGAGTAAAAAAAAGAAATTACATTATATAAATACTATGGAACCAAGATATAATCTAAAATATACAGTGCAATATATAATGCAATAATACAATATTTCATACAATAATAATACAAGATTTCATACCCTCGTAGTACTTACCTGATAGTAGGAGTGTACATAGGCTGTACTGGGGGTGGGTACTGTCCTTTATGATGCTGTGGACCCTCCTAATGACACTGCAGTGATACATTTGAGTGATAAATAAAATCAGTGTGAGATTCCAGTTTTCTCTGCTGTGGTGTGTTGGGGCAACAATGCTACAGGAAGGGGCTCAAACAGGCTCAATAAGCACATTAAAAAGGGTGGATTCCTTTGAAGCAGCTGTCCAAAGGAGAAACCAGTAAGAAGATTTGCTCCAGACTGGACAATGCCTCACACCATCAACGTCACACCCTGGTCAAACAGAGACGCACATTCAGCAGCAGACTCACACAGCGGCACTGCACCAGCGAGCGCTATCTGAGGTCTTTTCTCCCAGCAGTCATCAAATGCTAAAATAAGTACCCCCCCCCCCGACCCTCCCCCCACTCAGTCACCAGCCCTCTGGATTGTCATTGCATTTTTAAATGTTGCATACTACACATTGCAATTTCGTATTGCAATGTATATTTTGTATTGTATTGTGTCTTTTTCTATTGTATATGTACAGTTTGTAGTCACTCTTGTGTGTGCTGCTGTAGCTTTTTTGGAATTTCCTTCGGGATCAATAAAGTACTATTACTACTACTTCTACTACTCCTACTAAGTGTTCCCCAGAGCTGGTACAGTTGCACCTGAGATGCCTTGGGCAGTTCTAACTACACGCTATAGTAAAGAGCAGTTTCCAAACCAGACCGCGATGATACTGGTAAAATAGATCTTGATAATACCCCTGCAGAAGTTGCTGAGGATTCTGCCTGGCATGCCAGACAACTTTAGCCTTTTCCGGTAGTTCAGATGCTGTCGAGACTTCTTCACCAGCTGAGTGGTGTTGTGAAACCAGGAAAAAAATCATCGCTGATGTGAACACCAAGACGGTTGCGAGATGGTTCTTATGTTATAAGTCCATGCAGCAGTACATCTAAATATGATGTGATTATGGAGGAACTCCAAATTCAGTTGGTTTGAAGACTGTGGATAATGGAAAAACCTAATATATGAAGGATCTAGTAGGGGTAAGATCAGCCTTTGCATGCAGAAGAGCTTCAATCATTCTTGGAATGCTGGCACAGACGCTGGGGGAAAAGAGGAAAGACTCCAAGTCTTTAAGGACAAAGGAGGTGGCCATCAGCCCCACAATATGCAGTCCACAAGTTCCCATAAAGCAGTGTCTCTCAAGCCGGGCCTTCAGGACCACCAGACAGTGTGTTTTAGCTCCATCCCAGCTCCCGGAAGAGACAAATCATATATAAATGATCTGCACCTGGTAGGGACCTGGGGGGGGGGGGGGTTCCCCAAGGACCAGGTTGCCCCAAAGTTTCACGGATGTTTAGTTCTACAGCCTGGGGAGGCCAGGGAAGACATGTCACTCCATCCTGGTGTTTATGATGCCAATCTGGAAGTTGTGTCGCAGTGAGTATGGGGGGCACCATCACTTTGAAATATCTGAACACCATGAGGGAACAGTGTTTGCACCAAACGGTGCACCTGATACTCTACAATGGCTCAATATCCTTTAGCAGCCACATAACTACGTAAAGCAATTAGCACCTAATGATCCTAATGAGATGGTTGCCCTTTCTGATAGACATTGCGGGTTGAAGGCATCCATTCACTTTCTCAAAATATAAACCCATCTGGCTGATGGTGAATGATGACTCATCAGTTCCACAGAAAATTGTGATCATAGCATGGTGGCGTGGTTTGTTTGCTTTAATGCAGCATTTCCCAACCCAGTCCTCGGGGGAACCCCAGACAGTCCACATTTTTGCTCCCTCCCAGCTCCCAGCCAATCAGGAACACCGATTGCATGATTGGAGGAATGGCTTCCTGGATCTAAGCCAAAGTGCTGGATAGATATTATACGTCTATGCAAGCTAAAGATTGTCCAAAGCGAAAACTATATTCAAACACAAAGGAGCAGGGGGCTATGAACTGATCATTACCACTCGGCGAAGAGCTGGTAAACTGGTATTTCCAGAAAAACATGTACCTAATGAGTTCTGGGAAACTGGGGATGAATGGATCATGGCCAGGGTTTCGATCCTTGCTACAGCCAGGAAACAGTCGGCATCATTTATGGCGGGACCCCAAAGACCCCAGAGTGGACATCCGTAGGGAAGCTATTAAGTCAAGAAAAAGGAGACCTTAGGTGCAATACTTGCAAGGGGGTCTTCGTTTCAATGTTGCTTGGAAAGTGGGTAAAATACCTCTGGACTGAAAAGAAGAGTGGTGGTCCCTATTCTTAAGAAGAACATACCAGAGGGTATAGACAAGCTCTATGTCAGGGAACTAGAGATACAACCAAATGGTCAAATCTAGGTTTCAGAAGCAACAATGTTGATTGTGGCTGGCTGTGTAAGAGTTGGAGAAGGCATGTGACCATATGCACAGGCACAAACTATAGGAAATGTTGCAGTAGAATGGTTTATAGGAACAGTACGTTTTGTTCCTTGCATGAATGCAGTAAAAGTTGCATCTCCATCTTTGGTACAAAACTGAAGCTGTTCATACTGCTAGAATGTCCAGTATGGGGGCTGGAAGTGACTTCCCTGCTATGTGCAGAGGATGAGCTTTTGGCCTCATCCATCATGAGTGTAAAGAGGATGAGAATCAGCACCTCCATGGTGTCCTCTTACAAAAGAAAGTATTTCTCCTTTAAGGTGAGACGAGAGATTCCTGATGAGTCCGGAGATCCAAAAGGAGCTTTGAAATACTGCTGCTCCACTGATCCAAGAAGAACCAGCTAAGATGGTCTGGGCACCGTATAAGGACGTCACCTGGATGGTGCCCAAGGGAGATGTTCCTGGCACGCCCCACTAGGCAGAAGCCCTAGGGAAGTCCCAGAATGTGCGAGATGCTTTATGTTTCCCAGCTGGCCTGGGAACATCTAGGGATCCCTCACAATGACTATGGAACAGGGAGGTCTGGTCTTGTATTCTGCCACCGAGACCATCACCAGGAGAAGAGTCAGGAGAATGAGACAACTCAAACTTTATTAACCTTCCTGAGAGGACCTTGCACCAGGTAATGCACACTGGCCCAGCAAAATGAAACCGATTCAGCAGTGGCTAGTTTTAGGTCATTGTCACATATTAATCTTTCAGCAGACTGAAGTGTCTGTCTACTCTGTAGGTGAGCAACAACTATTCTTTGCTAGTGCAATAAGTTGGATGTTTTTTGAGACTGCACTCCATGAGACATTTAATTGATATATATATATATGTATGTATATATATATGTATATATATGTATATATATATATATATATATATATGCAATTTGAGCACCAAGTATTTGCTAATTTATAGATTCACATATCAGCCTGCAGAGGGTCACACAGTTTTTACAGCAAACATTGAACCTGAAATTACTTAATCTTTGTAGCTTCATTTGTAATTCTGATTTAGCGACTTCAGACTTAGTCCTTTTATCATGTGGTATTTATTTCATTTTCTCCATGCAGGTCCAGAATGCGTAAAGCTGAAAAAATAAACATTGCCCAATACCGTATATATCCATCCACATCCCATCAAACCACTCATCCAGAACATGTACTAGGCTATATGTAGGCTGGTATATTAAATTATTAGCGACCTTGAATAGGGCAAGCGGTTTCAGAAAATGGATGGATGGTTGGATGGATAGTTATATAGTCAGAATGCGATGAAAATAATGTTTGAGAAATTGATTAAAAAAAATAAAGATAAAGAAACAAGATTCCCAATTGTCGTGCATATATTGCAAGCATACCTACTACTGTAGGTTGTGTGGTAGGGAAGCTATTGGAATTACAAGACGAAGAGTACATCGGCGATGAAAACTGGCGCACTGAATCCCTCTAGGCTGAAAGCATTTGCAGGCGTCAACAGCAAATTTAAAAAAATGCGCCGTTTCACAAGGCGCTCATTGTAGTAGCAATACCACTGAATTTGGTGCCAAATGAATAATTATATATATGTATATATATATATACACACACACACACACACTGTTGATCATTTTAAAACACGCATGTTGTCCTCATTGCCGATTTTAAATCCAATCTGAATGTAAGATTTTACAAAATACGATATATGTTTCTATTATAAGAAAGAATATGCAGATTAAAGCCATAAATGCATACAGACACCAAATATCGCGCTGAGGTCAAAACCGAGACAAGCAGTTTATTCATTTGAGAGGCATATCTAGCAGCAGCCAGCAGATTAAGGGATCCGGCCGCCTTTCAGTTCATCCTAAGCTACAAGCCGGGGGCTGGATGAGCGCGGCCGGGCGGGAAGTGACGCAGCCGCAGCACAGGCTGCGAGCCGCGGCGGAGGAGCGGGGCAGATGCGGTCCTGACACCAGCCCGTGGCACAGCCCACCAGCACCGGGGACAAATACATACATCTTACATCCAACATGTTTCACTACCATTATGTTACGCAGCAGCAGCTTGCGGGCTTCGACAATTACAAGGTAAAACGGAAATATTATATGTAATTTTTTTTGTTAGATTATTTCTGCCCCGTAAGTAATTATTTCTGGGTGCTGAAAGGACCACGCAGCTCAGACTGCTGAATGGTGTAATTGTAGCTATTGCTTCGGATTATGCAATTAACATTCAGAGCACATATGAACAGATATGAAACAAACGCCTGTTAACGTTTATTATCATTTATGGATATTAAGCTTGTACATTTAGGTAGCTTGTGCTCCGCGTCCGAGCAGATCGTACAATGCACTCCGGGGGTATTTTTTTCTATTCTTATATTTTTTATTAATATATTAATTTCCTAGCTGTGATATAACGATTCACGGTGAACTATAAATACATGTCTATTCTGAACAGTAGTAAACTGATTTACGAACAATGAAATATATGTTTATCTTAAAGGCATTAGTTAACCACGAACGAAAGCCTTCATAAAGTAGACAAATTTTTTTAAATGAAATCATATTTAAAAATGCAAGCTTGATGACGGTGGTTTATGTCAGATTTTGCGTTTCAAAGTTGCGGTTTCTTGATGAAAATGCTCCGGGCGGTTAGGCGACGTCTCCCCACCAGAAGCGCCTCTGATACTCCGGAGACTCCTTCATTTTCCCGTACGATCAATACCGATGTTTTTAAACATTTAAAAACATTTATTTTGGCCTTGTATCGGAAATTTCATATTATCCACTTAAAATGCAATAGCATTGAAATGATGAAATCTTAATTGGAGGAATGCTGCTGATTTTATAGTCGTTTGGATACTTTGTCATCCTCTGCAGCCCGCTTTGCATTTCAAAGCCTTTACTGATCCGGACTGTAATTTCGATTTTTCCCATTGGTTGGATATTTTATTGATACAATATCTGATGGACGTTATTTATGAGAGCAGAGTATTTATAACTCTTTGTTTTCTTGATCTGCTGTCTGTCACCTTCCTTAATTTCCTCCGCTGATGCCATTAATCAACGCTTATGTCTCCAGAAATACCTTTTCTTCCTATTGAGCTCCGTACTGTTTCGCCGTATACTGTAAGGGAACGGTGCCCCGTTTCTGATCCACCTTTGGCCCAGGTCATCTATTCCTTTTGAAAAGCATTTATTTTTCCACTTGCTTTCACTATTTTAAGTCTCCCATTGTCGGAACCCTACTATAAGTGTGGATGACACTGGTTTAATTTATAACCTGGCTGCAGCGATTGCTGCCTCATGACCAGACTGTTCGGTACACTCTCAGTCTCAAATGCTGGCGCTGAACCGTACACCTTCTTTTTTTTTGTACACGAACTGATGACAACTTGTTGTATTCAATTCTTTTTGTACTCAATAAAAAAAAAAAAAAAAAAAAAAAAAAAAAAAAACCGTACACCTGACATTAAACTAATATGCTCCGTGTCGTTTAAATAGCGTTAAACCGGCAACAATTTTTAAGGTTTTCACTTAGATCAGAGCTTTCATCCCATTTTTAGGGAATTGTCATTGACCCCGTGGCATATAAACGCTGACATACATTCAGTGCTGTCCACTGTTTGTTCAGCGTGGACAATGATGCAGCATCAGTTTGCTTTGAATGTATGCTGTTCAGGCATGTTTGAATGGTAAACAGGCTGAGGGACCGGGCTGGGCGTTCAGAGCTGGGGGGGGGGGTTTGGTATGGGGGCTTTATTTGGTTAAGGGAGTGGAGTCGGGGTAAATCAAACGGCGCTGAGGAAAGGAATGAAAAGAGGATGAGAACGCGGAGGAAGACAGAGCCGGTCTCAGGTCTTGGGGCCTGGGTCAGGTGTCGGGGTTTGGGGTTCGGTCTGTTTCCGTCTGCGAGGAAGACATCAAGCCAGCCGGATGTGGTGAGGAGTTAGGGGCTGGTCACCGCTCCCTGGGGGGTTGGGATCTTTATTCATAGGCTGTCCTAAGCTATAGCCGAGGGACAACTGACTGGCTGCTTACGTGAGCAGCACCTGAGCGTGTCAGCCTAGGGCCCCAAGATAAGTTAATCTCCCACACTCGCGTCGCACAAAATGCAAAGTAGCGTGAACGTCTGACTTACGGGCAGCTCATACTCACAAGCAGACTGCCATATAGAATACTATATAAAACATTTTGGTTAAACACAATGGTTCATAGTGAACGCACGCACTACTTTTTGATGCTCGTGAAAACATTTGGCAGCTGCAACAATTTGTTGGCTCAAGGTATAGTGCAGTACCCTATGTGATTATTTTTATTATTACTGTATAGTTATTATTTATTTTTATAATCTCCGGTATTATTATTTTTCTATTCATAACTTTATCTACAAATTCGACTTAGGAACGGATCTCGTCCGTAACCTCGGGCCTGCCTGTATTAGAATTGAGTGCACTACATTAAATGTGAATTATCATAAAGAATGTACAGTACAGTGTAATTGTTCCCTCCTGAAGGTTCTCCAAAGCTAGCGTTTGTTTTCTGGTTCTGTTTCAGTACAGTGCAGTGGACACCAACCCGCTTTCAGTGTATGTCATGCAGCATCTGTGGAACAAGCTGGTCAAGGTGGGTGAGTCAGAGTCTTCATGTCCACCTTCAGCTAATAATTACCGGCGATTGTAATTCAACACGCTCAGTTAATGCTGAGATAATGACACGCCGAGAGGTTTACTGCCGCAGGTAAGTGTGAAGCTGTCTGGCCACCCCTGGGGAGACCCCTCCCAAAAAAAGAGGGCACTGCATTGTGTTACCAGTGTTTTATGGCACTGCAGCAGTGAGCTATCAGAGTAAACGTGGGGAGATACTGGGCTGTTCCAGTTGCCAACAGTAGAAGAACTGCTGCGTGAAAATAAATGAAATGTTTGAGAAAGTGCCCAAAAAACTAAAATAAAAGCTATATGACTTAACACTATTTCAACTGAATTAAGTTCACTCTTGTGTTTTTCATAAGAAATATGAAAAAGATGAGAATATTCATTTTCGCTGTGAATCAAATTTTAATATCTTGAGATCCATTTCATGACATTTTTTTTCCATTTGTAGTAATTACAAACTATCTACCTTTAAATCTGAAAGACTTGCCAAAATATTAATTCCTCATTATAGATTTCTGTGGAGTAATTTTTCTACACTAAATGCTATCTTTCTCTTCTTCATCCCTGCTGTTCCTGATCATTTTTGAAGTATGTCTCTTCCTGAGTTGTCTTTAACACGCTTGTTTCAGTATTTCATTTAATTCTTGGAGGCAAATCTCATTTCCCTGGTGCAGTGTGTCTGTAATGTGACATTGTCGTTGTTACTTGTTCATTCTTATTACATCACCTATTTGTTTATTCTTGTTAATAAGAATAAACACATGTTGAAAGAGTTAGTCCTGCTCGTTTTATTCACACCTAAACATCATTTTAAATTTTTTCTATTGTTTAAACTTCATTTTTTTTGGCTTTTAGTTTAGTAAGAGTTCTCCTTCTAACCTGTAGGTCATTCTGTGAATGTTGAAGGGATGTGGTCTGTATGGCTTTGGCCCCCGTCGTATCATTGGGGGCCATCCATGCTGGTGGATGGGAGCCGAAGAATCATTCTGGAAAGTTCCACTCCCATCAGAATAGATATGAATAACATGTCGCTCGGGACGGCTTTGCACTTATTGACATTCGCATCGCTCTCCGAGCGTTAAGTGGACCAAAGGCAGGCCAGGGAAAAGCACTTTAGTGTAAAGGAGCTGCAAGAACACCTTCACTTAGGCAACTCCTGGCACATTCTCTACATGTTTAAGAGCAGTCAGTGTGACCCTATGACTTGTTTTTCCGCTGCTCTGCTGAACACTGCCTGCATTCCGTGCTGCAGTTGCTTTTTCAGGTGCAATAAGGAGTTTACGCACTGCAACCAGATCGTGGTATCTCTCTTTGTGACATTCTCGCGTGACTGAAACGCATGTCTCAGTGAGTACACGTGTCAATCTGAGACACTCTTATGTTTTGTCTTGTATCTCATACTGATGCATGAACATCAGCAGACACCTGACATTCTTTTTTTGCCAAATTATCCTTTTTTAATGACAACTTTAGTCCGGCCGTATAGCTAAAGAATCACCCCTCTTCGAAGTCTTTGAGATCACTTCAAGTCATGGTGCTCAAAATAATGGGGATAATGTGCTTGCCCAGAAGATTTTATACGACCCCTGTGCATGATGGGATATTAAGCATGATGGCATATTAAGAATGGCGGCATATTAACTGCTTAATTATCTCAGGATCGGCACCTCCATCATTTCGCCATCATTTACTCGCAAAGATCTTCATCTTGGCCGTAGCTTTTTGGAAAGGCTCATCTCCTTAGTGCATCACATGGCACGTACGTATGGCACTTGTAGAGGGCTCCGTGTTCCACACCGCGGTACACTGTCTTCTTGTCCAGTTGAAGCCCACTGAAACGACTGAATGGTGCAATTTTGAGTTTCAGCAAATACAGACGCTCCTCTACTTACGAACTTTCAACTTACGAACTTTCAGACATACGAACGAAGACGACTGTAAGGCCAAATTATGTTCCTTGGGCTCCCGTTTCCTGTCCGCAACATCAATTTTTTTTTTCTGCGCGCCAATTCCGCCTAGTACGACCTCTGTCCGCTACTCCCGCTGCGCAGCAGTGTAGTGAACGTACTCCCAGCATCCTAGTTCTTTGTAGTTGCGTATACCCTTAAAATGATGTTGAATAACGACTTACGAACATTTCAAGTTACGAACAGCCGTTCAGAACGTATCTCATTCGTAAGTAGAGGAGCGTCTGCACTGCACATGGGAGAGACACTTTAGGGGCACATTTTCAATCACACACTGGCTTTTTTGAGGACATTTGCAGGCTTTAGGGCAGATTTTCGTTCACCCTGGACTTCACTCTAGTCTTTGCTGTAGTCTCCTTGGAGTGTTACCTGTCAGAAAGGCAGCTGTAAAGCTATTCAGCTGCTCTATTAATAATAAAGCCAGAGGAGAGGGCAGCACGCTTCATTAGGCTGCCTTTCCCTTGTTTATCTTGGCTTGTAAGGGACTGTATCCAAAGCATAAGACTTGTAAGGTGCCTTATGTAAAGCACAATTGCAATATGAATAGTAAGTAATCGAAACGATAACGCAGGTGAATGTTTCCTGTAAACAAATGGCCGTTTCAAGGTCTGTGATCCAGTTTCACTTTTTTGCTGAATAGATATAGGTCTAATTTCAGCATGCCGTCAAATAGCTAGGCCACACGTGATGTTCTTTTTGTCTCTCCCAGCAAACAATGGCTTTGTCTCTGCGGCTGCTCCCCAGAGTGGACTTGTCATTTTTTTTCTTGCCCGAGTGTGTGTAATATGTGTAGAAAACAGCACCAGAAGAAAAACAGAAAACAGAACCTTTGCATAATACTGCTTTCTATAGTCGTTGTTTTTTTTATTATTTTCTCATGACACACGTGTGTTTTCAAGTCAAATAAAGAGTAGATGCTTTAAAACTACAGACCAAATTTGTGCCATAATCCACAATACTAAATTTAGGTCCATATAAGCTTTTTTGTGCACTCAGTAACCTTAAACTAACCTCATTTCCAGCGCCGTACAGAGGTTGTGTGGTGCTTGTGGCAGGGTCTGGGTTAGCGCCACCCCGCCTCCCGCCCCCAGCCGCCCCCGGACCCCTGGCGCGACGCTTCGCTGACGTACTGCGTGTGCCTTGTCTTGCAGGCAGTGCCTCTGTGGGTCGCTCCCAACCTATTAACATTCAGCGGATTCCTGCTCATTTTAATGAACTACCTCCTGTTGTCCTTCTATGACTGGGATTACATGGCCTCAGGTAACCTCCACAGGGGTCCACAAGCCCCCCCACCGCCGTCTGCTATATGGGCTAGATCTCCTGTCTGATAATCCACACCAGCACCCGGACATGTTTATCTGAATTTATATATGTGTGTATACTGTGTGTATATAGCACCAAGTATTCATTCTGTCCAGAAAGACACGAGAGGAAAAAAGATCATTTTATCTGACTGTTTTTTTCTGGGTGCTTCCTGGGATTGGCTCCAGGCCCACTGTGTCCGAAAATGGATAGATGCATATTTATATATGAACTTGTAAATGTTATAACATTTAGTGGTATGTCTGCACATATTTTTAAATAAGTAATTGAGTGTGCTCTCAATGCCGCTGTGCAGGTAACAGCTCCCAGCATGTCCCAAACTGGGTTTGGACTGTGTCCGGCCTGGCCACGTTCTCGGCATATGCCCTGGGTAAGTGTGAGAGGGCTGTGGGTGTGGCTTGGGTGGGCGTGGCTTTAGTTAAGAGGGAGGGGTAAGTGTGAGGGGTGTGGTTTGGGTGGGCGTGGTTTTAGTTAAGAGAGAGGGGTAAGCATGAGGGGTGTGGCTTGGGTGGGAGTGGTTTTAGTTAAGAGGGAGGGGTAAGTGTGAGGGGTGTGGCTTGGGTAGGTGTGGCTTTTGGTTAAGGGGGAGGGGTAAGTGTGAGAGGGGTGTGGTTTATGTGGGTGTGGCTTTGGTTAAGAGGGAGGGGTACGTGTGAGAGGGGTGTGGTTTATGTGGGTGTGGCTTTGGTTAAGAGGGAGGGGAAAGTGTGAGAGGGGTGTGGGTGTGGCATGAGGTGAGTGTGGTTTTATTTAAGAGGGAGGGAGGGGCGAGTGTGGGTGAATGCAGCTAGTTAAGAGGCAGGATGTCAGCCATTTTTTTATTTAGGAAGAAGAAAGGTCTTGGGGGGCTGGTTA